ATTCCGAATGGTGACCGCGAGTCCCCCTTACTGCTGCTTTGCCAACCTATATTTCTTGGCCACTCTGTTTGGAACCTATTTTCCGTAAATTCTGAATGACCTGAAATCTTGAACAAAATTTCGTCCTTCATGATTCAAGACTCAAGGTTCAAAGTATGCCTTGGAGATAGATTCCACTTAAAATATATCGTGTTGACTTACCTCCATTTGCTGAGTGAATGAGTTGCTGTCTCGATAAGTTTCTTGGCTGTTTGTGGTAAAACTGTACCGCAATCAACCTAAAATAGATTTATTTCAAAAGCATACCAGAAACTTTTTAACGTTTTTGTAATAATCTATACTAGATTTCGTATATGCCCTCCGCCCGCGATGGACCTTTTTGCCTTGGCCGCAATGTTTTTCGATTTCAGACCACGTGTCATTCCCTAAAGTATCATTTCATTGTTTAAAGGTTGCACATGATCAAAACACATGAATATGGGTTCATCTCAGACAAAGAATCTTATTCTCAAGAGAATGACACGTGGTCTGAAATGAGAAACGAATACACTCAAGATAAAGAGGAGCAATACCCATCTTCTTCTCACAATATTTACCCCTCGTGCAATACTAATCTCCCTACTGGTACCCTACACCCCTTCTTTCCTGACCCCCTCAGGCCACGCCCTTAAACCAGTATACCCAAGTAAAGATCAATACCCATCAACTTATTTTTTATAGTATTTCCACTCCCCATCCCCCCTCTTGCAGCAATACCAACCTCCCTACTAGTAACCCAATACCCCCTTCTTTCCTGACCCCCTCTGACCACGCCCTTGAACACTACCAATATTACTAAATACCTGTGCTGCGCTGATGAAGAACAGTTGGTCATTGGTGTAGTTCATTCCTGGGAGCCTTAGTTCTTCTTTGTTTTTACTGACCCAGTTTTTATAAGCCTGAAAATTAAATTCTTGGATTAGCACCATGCAGTGTCAATAGTCCCCTTCACAGTTCCCTGCATCATATTGAAAAATAGCCGTGGCTTTGCATCGAAGAGAGACGAACGGTGAGCTTGCAATGATAGAGACATGTGAATCATTGTCCAAGGTGTTAAAAAAGGTCTCTATCGATCATTATAAGCTCACCGTTCGTCTCGTTTGGATGCAAAGGCACGGCTACCTTTCAAGATGGCGCAAGGAACTGTGAAAATTACTCAGTATTAAGAACTGGAAGTTGCTAACAGTTCCCAGTAAAGTATGGATATAAAAATTATAAAATTTAGCTTTATGATTGGTTGGTGGCTCGTGCTTTATGAGAGCACACAGCACGCGCGTAAAACGACAGTCCAAGAACTGCTTTCATTCAATACTGCAGCGATTACGAGAAGTGTGCAATATACAGTTATATATTTTGAACCATAACTGGTAGATATTCAAATATCCATCTTGTGTATGCCTTACCATGTACGCCTGCCTTATCGCACCGTTGTCTGCAATATTTTCCCCTAGTGTTTGCTTGCCATTCAACTGAAAAGGAAAAAATAATTGAATTTTTGAATGTATAGATTTCCTTAAAGTTTGCACTCATCAAAAAGAATAGATCAGTAATTTTTTCCTATAGGAAACTATAAACAGTAGATGCAGGGATTGCAAAGGCCTTGGCTATACACATCTCTTTCGCAATAAGAATTGCGCAGTCATTATCACAGACATAGCAAAGTTTTATTATCGACTTCTGTTTTCATCCTCGCATTCTATTCCCACCTTTTTTCTACAGATTACAATCGGTGCCAAAAAGGTGCCATGGTAATCAAACCTCTTACAGTTATTTTTGTGAGCACTTGTTTACGAGAGGTACCAGGTGAATGCTTTATTAATACAACTTTTCTTTGTTCTAAATTCTACTTTACAAGCATCAGGTTAACTCCTTATTTACTCAAAACCCATAGGAATTCCCCATGGTATACTACAAAACTTACTTTGATATTAATTATAAAATAACTGTTACAAATCTCGCGTTCTGATTGGTTAGTAGCGCGTGCATTACGAGAGAACACAGCATGCGCGCTTACCTTCAGTTGAGTCATTCCTATCTAAAATAACATAGGAATATATTCAAGTTCTCACTCACATTCATATCGTAGTCAGTGATGTTAGAGTACTGATCGACAAAACATTGAGATTTCCTGACAAAAGCGTCGTTTGATTCTTTGGTCCACCAGTTGAAGAGATCTCCACTTTTATCGTACAAACGTCCTTTGAGACAAAAGTTATTGATATAAAGGCTTGCCAGTGCAACAGATAATTGGGGGTGGGGTGTGTCGGTGGGAGGTGGGGG